AAGGGTTTTGAAGTAACCCTGTGGAATCTACATTTGAGGGAGTTAGTGCCATTCAGAATAGTTGTACTCAGTAGCTCTGGGAATAGAGGATTTAGCTATATTTTAGATGACATTATTTGCCAGTACTTCCGATTTTAAAAATGGCACAGTATTTTTCTCCTTTTCTTTTCTAGCTTGGACCCTATGACCTTGTCTCTTAATAAAACATTACCAATTGTTTTGTTAAGTTTATGATGTTCCCATAACCAAGGTCAATGTTTGTTAACAAGAGAACACATTGCATATAAAACTAATAAACTTCCAAAATATATTGTGAAGGAAATAATAAATAATAAACTTCCAAATACATAGTAAAAGGAAATATTTTCAATATGATCTGGCTGGAAATAGCCAGGTAATGCTTGAGGAGGAAAATAGTTTACACTGAGCAGATGTGTTTTTAATTATTACATTTCCGGCTATTCCAGAGGAGGGCACAGTAACTAATGAATCTATTATGAGAATTGTATGCAGCATTTAACAGACACCTTTACCAACTGGGGACACATCTGTACAAATTGTACAAACAACCTTGGTGAGCCAACAAGCAAAAAATATATTGCTATATAAGAAGGAAATTAAGAAGGAGTTGCTAATTTTGTATCTGTAATTCCCACCCCCACCCTGGTTTAATTCAGGACATAACTACACATTATTTCAATAAGTACTCTCAAACTATGCAGAATTAAATAGTGCAAATTCAGAGTACATTCACAGAGTATCTGTGAAAGGGAAGAAGAGGCATCTGGGGTGGGATCAAAAAAGTCAAAATGACAGCCATGATTGCACAACTGAAGCGCCATCCCTACATCACTCATCAAAAGGGGTGGGGCTTCAATCACACAGCCAGAGCTGCCATCTTGACCTTTTTGACCATCTGGTTGCTCCTGAGAGATTTTTTAACCCTGAGTTTATTAATTACCTTCTGCCAATGCCATTCTCAAATAGCTGTTGTCCCATATTGTCCTACGTCATGGTTTAATTAATCATTGTTTATTGCTTAAACTCTATTAAGTTGGGATCACCAAACATGCTTAATCCTAAATCCTAATGAAAACACAAGAAAACTCAATTACCATGTTCAATGACATCTTATACCCAATAAGGAAATCATACCATGGGTTATGCCTTATTCACACAACATACTAAAATACTGATTGGGTTCCCACAGCATAAAAGGTAAAGATTTCCTGGAGCTGAACTTGTTTGCCAAACCACAGATGACCAATCTCCATTTTAGAGTAGGCAAGCATCGTGTGTAAAACCAGCCACTCTTTCAAGCCATAGTTTCTATTTCGTGGTTGGGTTTGCACAACTCATTAAGCTAAAACCAAACCAACCACATTATGAACTAATAGAACTGTGACTCCAGCCATAGAAAGAGGAGGAATAATTGGGCTTTGCAGCTGCCCCAGAAGATGGGGATATTCCAATGGGCTGAAAAGATTGATGAGCAGATATAAGGTGAGAAGAACATTTATTTAGTATGTTTGTACTCCACTTTTTTTCCTGGGATGACATGGTGACTCATGTGGGTTTTTTAGGAAATCTCCCATTCTATTACTCATCAGTCATCACGATGGACTGCATCATGAGACTTTAGACCACTGATGGTAAGAGCAATTCAGCATGGAGCACATTGTGAAGAGGGGAGATATAGCAGGTTCTGCAGCAAATCACAGTGAGGCCATTAGAGACATGTTCCAATCCCCAAATCTGACATGTATATGTAAGTTGGGTGTTTGCTGATCGTGTAATGCCCATTTGGTCATTCCCCCCACCCTTTGCCCATCCCATAGCTTTCCCTTGTTGGAGGTTTTCACCAATAGATTTGCAATCCATTGCGGGTCCTTTAACTGTAGTTTTCCTGCAATGAGATGGGGTCCAGATTAGATGGCCAGCAAGTACAGAGATTTCCAAAGTTATGTTTTTAACCAGATCCGTTAGACATAGTGGCTCAATTTATATAGCATGCCCAGTTTGGTTGTTTTAACCTTGGTTTTGCTTCATTCCATTTTTTTGTGGTGGCTTGGTATGCGGCATAGATCAACCTTATTTGGTTAGTTTATTGATCATTTATTGTGTGAATCGGGAAAATACAGGTAGTCCTTGACTAAGACCATTTGGTTAATGACTGTTTGAAGTTATGATAGTGCTGAAAAAGTCAGTTATGACTGGTCCTCATGCTTATGACCATCACAGTGTCCCCACAATCACATGATCAAAATTTCGACTGGAAACCAGCATGTATTTACAATGATTGCAGTGTCCTGGAATCATGTGTTCGCCATTTGCAACCTTCTCAGGGGGCTTCCGACAAGCAAAGTCAATGGGGGAAGCTGGATTCGCTTAACAACCATGTGATTTGCTTAACAACTGCATCAAAAAAGGTCATAAAATCAGGTGTGACTCACTTAATGACTGCATCGCTTAGCAACAGAAGTTCTAGTCCCAATTGTGGTCGTAAATCGAGGACTACCTATAATTTGCATGTTGTCTGAAGTTCTATGAGTCTAAAAATCTGATATGGATCTGTTTGCAGTTGCTTAGTTACCATACACTCAGCTGAATTACAAAGCTACAGCCTAGCTTTTAAAAAGTAATATGATTCTAATTTTAATATCAGCTATTCTCTTACTCAAACCATTACACCACCCTCTTGATTTCATGTTTTTGGAGTTGATTTATATTGACTGAATTACAAAGTTTTCAAACTTTGCAAAGCAAGGATCCCTTTAAATGATAAATGAATTTGTGTGACCTTCCCTCATAAATAAAACAAATTCATTCATTAAAGTTAGGCTTGGGCGAAAAATAAATATACCACATACTTTTAATAATTAAATTTTAATCTATAATTGGTGTGATAGAGAAACATTTTTCGTGGGGAGGTTTTACAGAGAAGAACAACCATTTGCCTTCCAAGGCCTTAGAATCTGTGGTGAAGTCATTGCAAAAGTGGGGCAGAAATTTTCAGCCATTTTTTTCATGCAGGGTTGGGGGCTTCTTCAGAAAAAGAAACTGGTTTGTGCATGCTTCGTATGCACTTTCCTTAAATTTTCACGACAGAACTGTACTGCAGAGTGTCATACTTTGCCATACGCTTTGGAGTCTCAGAATGCTGAAAAAGCAGGACTGGGGGGAGTTTGTGACCATGGGCTCCCCTTTCTATAAATGATACTTATCTAGAGAAGTCTAAGGTCAAGTGATAAATGTTTACTCCAAAGAGTTTATAATCTACATTTCGAAAGAATGATTGCAATATTATTGGGGAGGAATGTGTTCTGTAAATAGCACACTTCTAGTCTAAAAAGTCAAGTTGGTGGTCCTGACTCTGCAGTTGAAGCCCCACCCCTTTTTACATCCATCTCAGGTGGGGGAAAATGGGCGGGGCTTCCATCACACCCTCTTGATTTTTTGATGTGTCTCCAAAGAGTACATTTCATGACTTTTACAGTTTTACAGGATGTCTGTTATTCCTGCAGATCAGTTTATATCAGGCTGCTTTTGCCGTGATGAAAACGCATATATTGTGAAAATAGAGTTGCTGGATTGTTCCTTCTCCGCCTTCTGAAAGGATCTCCAGCTGTGCAGACAGCTGTACCAGCTGGCATTTGCAATATTGTGTTGTACATTTTTATTGTTTTAATGGGCTGTGTTCCTAGCCAGAGTTTAATTACCCTTTTACTTATTAATATCTTTAAAATGGGTAAAAAGAAATGTCAGTATGGCATGGAGGCAAGCTAGTAGAAAAACGATTTCCTTGATGCTTTTATATATCAATATGCCCAACATGAGCCTGAAACAGAAAACGGGAACAAAAGGAAGCAATTTCTCATCCAAGTCTGGGCACAGGTAAAGAACTCCAGTTGCGGGTAAATGCACCAAGTTTCCATTCCTCAAAGTCATACAGCTAATGAGAAAATTATAAGTGAAATGCCTGCAACAAACTGTTTAAAATATCAAGCAAGCTACGATGCAGCAAATGAAGCATTTCCTAGATAACTCATGTGGTGTTTTCTCTGTGGTGGTACATCAGAACTCTGACTCTCTGCTTAGTGCAGAAATCCAGATTAAAGGATCCCTGAAATATGACTGTCCAATTGCTGTTATAACACATCTAGTGAAGAGAAGCCACCACCTCTTCAGATAATTGGTTCCTCTAAAAATGCTCTGTTAGAATATTTTTTAGGAAAAGAAAATGCAATGAGTATGGGCCGCTTTTCCATCTGCTAGTGGTGCTTTGTTTCCTGTTAGAATTGCATCAAATATCAAAAGTGAATTTCATTAAAGGATCTTGTTTTCATCCCTATCTCATTTTCATCCAAGTTTTCTAAACGTGTGGGCAGTTTCAGATGAAATGATGAAAGAATCGGGCAAGAAAATGTTACTGAACAGCTCTACACCATAACAAGTAGGGAAATGTGTTTTAACTTTGCCAGAGAGTTAACAATATAACAGTTCAGGATTTCATTAACTGCAATAAAATGCAATTGTAATATGAGAATATCATAGGAAAAGAGTGAGCTCCAGATGTCCCACTGACTAGAGCTGATCTGAAAGTTCTCTGCAGAGCTTTAAGACGTTAACCCCTAAGACACATTTCTTGGTTTAGGTATTAGTGACAATGACATTCTTGAAAACACGAGCCAACTTTAGGAACGATATTTTATAAACTTGCAGAGCAGTCAGAGCAAGGGCAATGAAGCAATGTCCTCATTCACGCTGGACTTCACAATCGGAGTGAAGTTTGTATTTCAATCTGGAAACCTTCGAGCGTAATTGCTGCTCGAGGTACATTTGCTCCAGAATATGAATTTCTGCTTTTACCTCCAAAACAGCCACCTTGTCATCTCCCAAGTGGGGTCGCAGTTTTGTGCTTGCATGTGTGTGTATGTTTACGGTGCGCATGTGCAACTTCAATATGTTTTATTACAAGACATCCAAATATTTCTTCTCAGACTGGTTACTTCCACTTGCCTGATGGAGACTACTTCATTGAACCAGTGAAGGAATATGAGTCAAAAGAAGGGGCACATCCACATATAATCTACAAGACAAACGTCATCCAGAAGGCTCTGAGGAAACAGCGAGACACCTGGACAGAGAAGCAACGGAAGTGCGGGGTGAATGGTACACATGTATATGCTTTCAAAATGTGTTGCTCAACGATCTCATTAAAATGAAGCAGCTAAGAACTTCTCCCCCTCATCTTTACCTGTATTTTTTGCAGCTCACAGAACATTGGTTTCCTGTTGCAACTGGAAGCAAGAAACTGGTGATCTGTAGCGTGGCCTTGAGAGGAAGAGGGATACCTGGTTGTTTCTTCCTTCCTCTCCAAGATTGGTGGCTTCTGAATGCAATTACCGTATTTTTCTGACAATAAGACGCCCCCATGTACAAGACGACCCCCACTTTTCC